TGGATTTGAATTGTTTTCTTGATAGAAAATAATATTTGGACATTACATTAGTGCTAATGAATCTTTCAGGGTAATTCGCCCTAATGCCTGAATTTCGCACAACACAATGTTTTACATTTCACTTATTCTTTCGTTCTTCCATTGATCTATTAACGAATTCAATACCATTGTTCGTTCTGATTGTAAGTATCTTTCACACTAATGAACTATTTTCTCCATCGCTTTCACAACGGTCTTAGCATTTTGTTTATAATCGGTTCAACCTAAACATAACTAGAAAACACGCCAATAACAATGAGAATGCATTAATTATCGTTATTGTAATTTTAGCTAAAAATGGAAACATTAGATCAAAGAAAATCGAGTGGCACGAATTGTCAACACCATTTCAGTGTGTGTGTGTGTGTGTATGTGTGTGTGTGTGTGGCTTCTTGCTTGTTTAGCATCGGGACATAAATAGAGAATACTACACTCATTCTCGTTAGATACTATTTTTACGAAACGAGTGGACTTTCTATTGTGTCTGACCGAGCGAAAGCGAAAGCGTATGTAAGTGTACATACATAACAACTTTTGTTTGTTGACAGACCAAACTGAAACCGGCTGCAAAATCTGGTTGCGCATGAATATTGATATATGCCCAAATATGGGCATTGTTTACATACCTATGCATACGCATTAACAACATGCGCCCGCAGTTGTGTTTGCAAACATAACAGCACCGACGCTCAAGATCCTTTTGGAAGAATTTCTTCAACTTATGAGAATTCAAGCGCCATGTTGTTATATTAGTACGGAGGACACCTATAAGAACATTGGAAAAGTCAAATTAGCGCCGGGTTTGAATATCGGACCAACAGTCGGTCACCCGCATTACCGGGGTCTGTGCATTCAAGCTGGCTCGGGTTCATTGATCTATCATTTGAATTTATATCATGTCCGTACCATTTTGGAAGAGGGAAATCGGTGTGTTTGCCAAAGACATTCATGTTTACTGTACCACCCTTTACTGAAGACGTGAAAACCAACACGCTAAGTCTGCTTGCATTCAGTGACAGCTTCGAACGAAGGGCAAGGTCACAACCGGAATAAGAAAAGACAACCGTGATCTACTAAGCGTTTTACGCTAGAGATAGGGAATGTTATTGTTCACCTTTGGGATATTTTGGGCCACATAATCAGAAATCAGGCACACTTCTACGGAGCTTTCGAATGATTTGTAATTGAAATTTTCACTTTGAGTGATCTGGTTGTGTCTTGAACAAACAACTCCCGAAACAGTGCCACAAAATACCCTTCGAAGAGGGCACTGATGGCACAACCGGATCATCCCAAGTAAGTCTAGATATCTGTCCAGATAGATTAAACTGACTTCATTTCACCACGCTTATCCTTTTACGTTAAATCAAATTGGAAGTTGCGAAAGTAGTCGGGTGCGTCACCTTCATGGGGAACCTCGATCTATTGAACGGTAGTCGAACATTGTAAATGGATATAGCTCGATTATATAATGTCTGTGGAAGCTCAATGCATAACTTATATAGGATGCAAACAGAATTTGATGCGTGTGACTATCTTTTTGGGTTTAATAAAGTGTTTGTTAATATCCCTTGCTCACATGAGATTGCTTCAGTTCTGCCTTGTAGTTGCAAAATGAATGACGTCTCGCCACGTGGGTAATAAACACAGGGGTGTCCTGGACCCGGCTCCGGCGCCCGGAATCTCCCTTTGAGAATACTCCTTAGAACGTTTGTACGTGGACGTGTCATGAGGAAAACGACCAAAACAAATAAATGCTCGATTACCTTACAATGATTTCATTATAAATAGGAAGTGATATGTATTAGTCGCCCGTGAAGAGCAACCGTTTAATATACATACAGCTCTATTACACATTACGTAATACCAAGGCGCGTGCTCATGTTTCACCGACAAATATTGAAAACTCCCAACATCCCTGGGTTTTTTCAATGAAATTGCGTGTTGAGATGATACATCACTGAGAGGATCTTGCGCATCCTCGATGGCCCCAGCAACCCTGTTGCTATAGCTAGGCCCACGTCACATGACAATGTTTTGCCGGTGGATCTTGCATCAAAATTCCACAATTACGTCATAGGGCATTGTGACGTGATTGTAAACCTTGTGGTGCAGGGTCCACAAGGCATTTCAGCGCAACGACAGTCGTGTGGAAGACTATAGGTTGGACGTTGAATGGTTTCAAATTAATAAGTTTCACCTTTTAACGTGTTTGAAGTGTTATTCCAAAGTACTCCAATATATACTGAACCGCAAAAGAAACGTCACCCCAAGTAACATTGCATGAAGAGTTGTCATTTAAATATCAGGGTATTTTTGTCAAAGTTTCTAAAATTTAACATTACCTTGTCCGGAAAAATGAAATTTGATGATAAAAAACAAAGCAGATGACAGTAAACCGATCACCCAAACGCATCACGACAACGGCCATGGTAACCCGATGCACGTGAGTTCCGTGCAAATTGAATTAAAATAATCCACCCAGATCAGATAACATCCATTCGTTATTGAATTGCTACCACATGCCAAGTTTGACAAGAAATCAGCGACACATGGTAAGGACCATATACAGGCTCCAGCAACGGTACCAGACCACCAACACTACAGATGACCGACCACGTAGTGGAAGATCAAGGGTCAACACCAGGGGCGTCAGGATCGTCAGATTGCACGACAGCATCTTCAAGATCGCCTTGTTACTGCTGCGGAAACTGCTCGACAGACCATGGGGACACACCAGCGACACATTAGTGTGGACTCCGTGCGTCGACGAGCAGACGCCTCCACTGTCACAGGCCACACCGAGGACCCACTCTGACACCACGTCATCGCCGGGAACGTCTTCAGTGTGCAACACAGCACCAGCATTGGCGCCACAAGCAGTGGAGCAGAGTCCTCTACTCAGACAAGAGCCGTTACTTTATCTGAACAGCAGATGGCAGAGAGAGTCTGGCGACGTCGTAGTAAAACATTATTCGGATGCTTGTGTTGAGAGACGGGGTGGTCCGAGCATCATGGTGTGGGGTGGAATTGGTTTTGCGCAGAGGGTCGGCCCTGTGGTCTTCCAGAACATCGGTCCAGGGAGAGGCAATAGTGTCACAGCAGCTCGGTATATTGATCAAGTCTTGAGACCACACGCCATACCTCATTTGGCACGTCGCCGCAACCACGAGTTTCAGCATGATAACGCCCGTACCCACACTGCGAGAGCAACAAGAGACTACCTCAAGCAGAATGGCATCAGAACCATGCAGTGGCCAGCCCTCAGTCCCGATTTAATTCCCAATGAGCACCTGTGGGAGTGTGGGCTCAAGTGCCTTCATCAACCGCCTCATCCATTCCATGTATCGACGTTTCACGACAGTCATAATTGACATTGACACACGAATTACTGACTTGTGATGCCATTTTCTCAGAGACTAGTGTTGTGTTTCACTTTAAGAACATTTGACACTTTAATTCCAACCTTGATGATCAGTTTTGCCAAGTTTCATCTTTTTAATATGTCTCAAAGTATGTTTACAGTGTTTGGACAAATAAGGTTTCTTGGATATCTATCCATTTTGCGCTTCAGTATATGCAGCCTTTGATACGACACCAATTTACAAGTTAAACAAACAACAAAGGCTACTTGCCTTATTATTTACTTTCCGAAAGGTGATACAGGACACGCTCGCCTTTTCGCGAACACCTGGTGTCATCACTATTTCAGTGTGAGTCATAATCGCATGCTTATGGATATAGTCGGAATCATACCTGCACTCTACTTTCAGAAGACGTTTCTTATGATCTATACATATAACTGTCACCACTATTTTGTCATTACGCAAGACGAAAAATGTTTCGTTGGATAATCGAGACTGGTTACTCTCTGATATTGACGTTATATGGTATGCGTAAGCAAATAGTTGTGTGTCGCTTTGATTTTCATAACAATATTTTTACATTCAAACTTGACATTTCCAAAGGGCCTAAAAAGTTTGTCATTTCTTGTCCTTTATAATAATGAACAACATCAATCATGCTCACTGGGTGCAATATTTCAGTAAAATACAGACTTGTTAAAAATGACAAAACATCCAAAATAGAAAAGCCATTACATCCTGGTCGAGTGAGGGGCGCGGTTCACCATTTATCTGTGCAGAGTTGCGTCCCTTTAGCACGCCAGAAACCTCTGAGTGTGGGTTCAAATCCCGGTTCGCCCGGATTATGCTCCTTAGTCTGTCTGCACCATACCCGTGTTCGTGGGTTTCACCAACTTAGTAAACGTCCAAGACCCGCATCACAACGTGCTTTCCTCCCACATTAGGCTTACATGACGCCATATTACTTGAATACTGTTCACAGCGGCGTTAAACGCAACTTACCCACTCACCTTAACATATCTGAGTTCCAATATACTTGTCTCTTCATTATTTAATTGTAAGCTTTGACATTTCCTTTAAAATACGTGTTGGTACTTTTGCTCTGATAGAGGAAAACAAACTTAATGTTTTCATCCTATGTGTATGGATTCTGGTGTCTCATCCAGTTGTGCAATCTGGAACAGAAACAGAAGTATTATGTCACAGGCTGTCAACACATGCACAGTATCAATACTCGTGCTCATCAGTACTCTATTTTGTTGAAACCCATGCTTGCCGTAAAAGGTGACTATGCTTGTCGTAAAAGGCGACTAACGGGATCGGGTGGTCAGGCTCGCTGACTTGGTTGATGCATGTCATCGATCCCAATTGCGTGGATCGATGCTCATGATATTAATCACTGGATTGTCTGGTCCAGACTCGATTATTAACAGACCGCCGTCATATAGCTGTAATATTGCTGAGTGCGGCGTTAAACAACAAACCAACCAACCAACTCTATTTTTTTGACGTACAACGAAGGATATTGATTTGCTCATCTTCATAACAATGCCTAAGCTCATCCTAGAAATACCCGAAGTGTGCATAGCCTTCGTGAAAATCATTAGAGTTCTTTTGTCGCAGAGAAGAGATGTGGCTACTGACTGCGGTCCTACTTATCGCCCATTCAACGTTTGTATCAGGTGAGTACATTGTACATGTGCAGGGACAGACAATTCTAGATATATAATTGTTTGCAAACAAATATCATATTCAACCAAATTCAAAATACAAAATTCAAACTTTCGCTATTTAAAAATTGTGTGATGGTCATTCCCTGGAAGTTGACGGATGACAAAGTAGACAAAAATATTATGGATAACAACTTCTTTGTTTTACCGTAATAGCTCCGTTTCGGTATAAATCCTTATATAAATTATATATGGTCGGTGAAGGAGTGAGTGAGTGAGTATGGTTTTACGCCGCTTTTAGCAATATTCCTGCAATATCACGGCGGGGAATACCAGAAATGGGCTTCACACATTGTACCCATGTCGGGATTCATACCCGGGTCTTGAACGTGACGAGCGAACGCTTTAACCACTAGGCTACCCGGCCGCCCCGGTCGGTGAAGGGTCAGCAGTAACAACAATTATCATACGTCCGGGGGATAAGCATGAGTAGGCTAACATCCAAGTTGTTATCTGTACATTTTGTAGAATAGAGTATTCTTTAGCGGCATAATATTTTATATTGCTATATCTGGTTGGGACAAGACCCCTCTATGTGTGTATGTCCATGCGTGTTTTGCAAAGGTTCATTAGTGTTACAAATAATATGACCACACTTTACTGGTGCGGGTATCCTTTGATAAATGTGTCCACTGATGTTTTCGTATGTTACTTCGTCGTTCTAAGACATATCTCCTTTACGCCAGATGTCTATATCAATTAAGACCGCCTACGTGGTCTCGTGGTAGAGCGTCCGCCAGGAAGGTCCGGGGTCCGATCCCCGGCCGTGTCATACCAAAAGACGTTGAAAGATGGTACTTGTTGTTACTCTGCCAGGCGCTCGGCATTAAAGGGCTAAATCAAAGGACTGGTCGGCTCAGAGTCAGTATACTGTGTCTCGTTTGTAGCAGGTCCTTTCTTGGTCCCTTAACCAACCCTCCACAGCAGCAGTAATTTCGTTATCATCACTAAATCTTTGGGAAGGCAAGCGCTTTTTCAAATTTTGAAATAGATGATAGTCACTTGGTGCCAACTCTGAAGAATAGGTGAATGAGGCAGACTTCGAACCTGAATTCATGGTCTCTATGGAGTCATATGATATGCCAGTTGTCCTCAACTCATTGAGTGTGATTCGACGCTTTTGCATCGCTAGGTTGTGCACGATTTTCTTGAGTGGTGCATTGGTCCAGGACGGGGGTAATCTAGACTCTCTGCACCACTTTGGGATTCCTTCAGCCATCTGTACTCTGTATTATCTATGTTATGATCGCAAGGAGAGGGGGGGGGGGGGGGGGGGGGGAAGTCGGGTACCAATCCTTCTTTGGATCTAATACAGTTTGTGTGCTAGTATCTTATTATAGACCCGTGAAGATCCGGGGTAGAATAGGTCTTCAGCAACCCATGCTTGCCGGAGAAGGCGACTATGCTTGTCGTAACAGGCGACTAACTGGATCGGGTGGTCAGGCTCGTAATCGATCCCAATTGTGTGGATCGATGCTCATGGTGTAAATCACTGGACTGTCTGGTCCAGACTCGATTATTTACAGACCGCAGTCATATAGCTGGACAATTCCTGAGTGCGGCGTTAAAAAACAAATAAAGAAACTATCATAATACTGATTATCCTCTTAATTGGTTTTAAGCACCTGAATATCCTGAATATGTTGTTATGTTATAAATAAATAACTAAACGAGTCCCCGTTACATACCGTTTTTATTGCAACGTGGGTGTTTCAAAACGCATCCAACAACAAAAGCGAACAACCTGCCAAAAGGGTGCCCAGCTTTTTTTCGAAACGATTATGCAAATCGATATGTTGCCTTTCTATAAATCAAATTCATTGTAGCATTACAAAGTTAGATATATTGACATGCAGCGGAAAATCGAGCTTTAAACTCGGTTTAGTTCAGTTGAGTACAGCCTGCGAGTGGAGTCATGTTTGCTAGGTGATTCGCTACGAGATGGTTTATACTCTTAAAAAAAATAGGGGATCATGAAAAACAAAATGTATAAATGTTATTACCAAGTATAAGAACAAAGATAACTGTTGACGACAAACACCCCGTGAAGAACGTTTATGTATGTAAAATGTTACACCAAATGCGGCGTTAAACAAACAAACAAAAACCAAACTGCGTCCCATACATTGCACGTGCGCCACACACGTGCGTATGGTATCATTCCCGATTTTGACACTTTCAAGGTAGGTCGATTAATCTTTGTGGACCAATCTTATAGATTCTGCTGATGACCCAATTGTGATGTGCTTGATTTCATTCATTGTCTGTGTATGAACTAGCGATATTGGCACCCTGGAAACAGTGAGAAGTCATACGTTCAATGTTTCACTGTCTTTGATTAGCAGATTATGGAACAAACCCCAAATCGACAGGATCTATTGATCCGAAACCACGCTCTACGAAATCGAGCACAAACGGCGAATCAAATTGCTGTAAACTTTCATCTGACTACTGGGCCCACTTGCACAAAACGATCTTAGCGCTAAGACCATTGTAAGCCTATGTTAAAGTATCGGAGTTAAGGTTATCCTAGCGCTAAGATCGCTTTGTGCAAGTGGGCCCTGGAGTACGAGGTACAGGTCCGACGATAAGAAATCGTCTATGGCAGCTCATCTCCGAGGTGGACGGTGACGTGTAGTGTCACTCCTTACAAATTGCCATTTTTCCAACAGACGTCAATGGTGCACACAACGTCGAGGGGGCACGGGTGGCCCAGTCGTCTAAGGCGCCGCGATTCGCTGTGCAGAGTTGCGTCCCTTGGGCACGCCAGAAACCTACGATTGTGGGTTCGAATCCCGGTTCGCCCCGATTATGTTTCTAGGTTTGTCAGCACCATACCCGTGCTCGTGGGTTTCACCGAAGTGGTAAACGTCTGAGACCTGCATCACTTCGGGCTTTCCTCCCACATTAAGCTGACACGCCGCGATATAACTGGAATACTGTTAAAAGCGGCGTAAAACCCAACTCACTCACTCACTCACAACGTCGAAACTGGGGTAATCGTCGCTGGTTACGTGTCATGTTCTGAGATGATTCCAGGTTTACTTTGCACTTCCTTGATAGGCGTGGTTGTGTCTGGCGACGTCGAAATGAATGTCGAGTCAATGAGACCTCTTGGCAGATTTTTCGGTGGATTGGTTGTGGTGTGGGGTGGCATTACTATGGCAGTCTCCAAACAAAATCCCAGCCAACCGCCGACTATCAAATTGTTGGTCTCTAACAAATATTATTGTAATATCCCAGCTATAAGACGGCGGTCTTTAAATAATCGAGTCTGGGCCAGACAATCCAGTGATTGATATCATGAGCATCGATCCATGCAATTTGGATTCGATGACATGCATCAACTAAGTCAGCGGGCCTGATCACCCGATCCTGTTAGTCGTCTCTTACGACAAGCATAGTCGCCTGTTACGGCAAGCACGGGTTGCTGAAAACCTATTCTAACCCGGATCGTCACGAGTGAAGTAGTTTAAGGACATTTTGTGCTTCAGTTGTAATTATAAATGAATGTATAATTTGCTCTCGTCGCAATATGTCTGATATATTACCGATGTTTCGTTAGATTTGGACTCACTCACTTGTCGTGGGAAGGTTGGTTGGTTGGTTTTTTTAACGCGGCACTCAGCAATATTCCAGCTATATGACGGCGGTCTGTAAATAATCGAGTCTGGACCAGACAATCCAGTGATTGATATTATGAGCATCGATCCACGCAATTGGGATCGATGACATGTATCAACCAAGTCAGCGAGCCTGACCACCCGATCACGTTAGTCGCCTTTTACGACAAGCATAGTCACCTTTTACGGCAAGCATGGGTTGCTGAAGACCTATTCTACCCCGGAATCTTCACGGGTCCGTGGAAAGGTACTCAATGGGGAAGATTGTCAGCTTCTGTGACTTGGTTAATGACACGCCATTTTGTCTAGACAACGTGAGTGAGTGAGTTGGGTTTAACGCCGATTTTAACAGTATTCCAGTTATATCACGGCGTGTCAGCTTAATGTGGGAGGAAAGCCCGAATTGATGCAGGTCTTAGACGTTCACCACTTCGGTGAAACCCACGAGCACGGGTATGGTGCTGACAAACCTAGAAACATAATCGAGGCGAACCGAAATTCGAACCCGCAATCATAGGTTTCTGGCGTGTCCAAGGGACGCAATTCTGCACAGCGAATCGCGGCGCCTTAGACAGCTGGGCCACCCGTGTTCCCTTATTTGGTCGGAACAATGTGTGACTGAACAGGTTTCGTATCCCCCAACTGCATGGCTCATTGCACAATCTAGCAAGATCTAACCAAGCCGTGTTTGTTACAAGCCGCGATACGATTGGGTGATTGCTGTCTGTGGTGAAAAAAACTCATTCAGTCAATCATGATCCTTGTCATAAACTCTCACGTGAAGTGATCTTGTCAAAACCATGTAAAGTACCTGTTCACCGATCCCTAATGCTCATCAGCCAGTTACTCATGTCCTTATCGTTCACCCTTATTGAGTATGTAATTGAAATTCAGTGTCACATCAATATAAACATAGTTGAGCAAAGATAGATAATAAATGTATTTTTAATGATCAATTATTACAACAAGTTCCCTGTCGATCTGAAGTATTAATATAGAAAGGACAATCAATGTTTTAAGGATGGATGTTAGAATTGATTTTAGGTAATGAAGCGATAAATCAAATACATGTGTTTCCTTGGTAAAAATACAAATGATTTACTGACGATTTGGAAACGGGGCGCGGAGAAATCGATCGTCCCAGCAACAGTGCACTTCTAGTACTTCATTACACGTTCAAGCCTGATCATGTTTATCGATAAAGAAGGTTATGATGATCTTAAATAACTAGTGGCAATGTCTCAGTTCTATGTTTGACGGTATTGTTTGTTGGTTTGATGTGATAAAGTGGTTTTATAAGTATAGTCATGTGTCGGATCAAACCATGCTTAACTTGGAAACAGTGTCACAATGTAATCTAATTTAAAACTATCTCATGTTGACATGTTAACAATTGCGGGATTAATAATGAACATATGATTATGTGTAGTGGAATTGCTTTATTGAATCGAGCTTTGTTAATTATGTGTCATTTCCTTACCTGTTTATACTGTGTCAACACATATTTGTTTGTGCACAGTTTCTTGGCTCAAGCATGTTACCTCTTCCCAAGGCCACATTGCTGCTTTCCAGTGTTGTGTTTGTTACGGGTGAGTCCTACTATATCCTACTATAAAACTTTTTTTTTCAGTTTTGTAAAACGTATTGTGTATACTCTTTTGGAAATGTTCAACACACAGTCCTAGGTAGTTGCTGTATGCAAAGGGTTTCAGTTTCCAATGCAATGATGTTTGGTTAAAAAAAACCGTAGGTTTCCCAAGTACATTGCCGAGTCAAATATTGCCACTTAAAGTTTATATTTTTCGGATATGAAGTCTATACCTTTTCTATAGCAGTTTAGCATAGTAGTAAGATCATTGTTGATTGATAATAGCGAAAAAGAACATTAGGCATACGGCCTGTAGAGTATTTCATGTCAGTTAGGAACCGACCATTCGATCTTATCTGGGAGCTGACATAAGCTCACCACGGAACTTTGTACCAGGTGAGCTGTAAATGCTACCTCTCGACATATATTAGGTATAAATCGTATTGTGAATAGAAGAAGAAGAAGAAGAAGAAGAAGAAAAATAGTTTATTTAAGTGTCCAGCGGTGTATACATAAAATTACTTCAATTTATACAAGAGGTAAAATATATTAAAAGATATACATCGCCCGGCCAGCGTGGGCCTATTAGACACTAATGTTCTTAAAAGCACCGCAAGTGCTAAAATAGTTATGGTGGACAGTGGTTTATTTGTTAATGGTGCACAAAATACGAGATAAAAGTATAATGCTCGTACATTTATGACAAGCATTGCCATACAATGACATGTTTTATCAAATATAAAATATACAGAGGCATACAATACTGGAATGGGTTTATGACACGTTGTTATATAACCTACGTTTGTACATGGATTTAATTAGTGCAGCTACAGAATAGGATAAATTATCGCACTTCATAAGGAATGTGGTTTGATCTATAGGGGTCATGAGACAAAAAATTGGGCAAAGAGACGAGGCATAACCCCAAACATATTCTCGTTGATCTGCATAAAGATTACACGTTGTTAAGAAATGAACCTCGTCTTCGATACTGTTTGTATTACAGTGTTTACAAATACGATTATGTAAGGGAATTTTTGGTTTCAAGAAACGACCGAGTTCAATTTCCAGAGGGAGGGTACCACATCTAAATTTAGCAAATATACTACGGTGTTCTCTGTTGGCTAAATCAATGACATATTTGGAGGTACTTAAAGACGTTTTAACAATCGATATGTTCTTAACTTAATACCAATAGATTTCGCATGACGGATGACGCACGCCGTACAAAGACGGATGGCAATACGCCACATAAGCCTTTTGGACATCTTACAATGCGACATTGCGACAATGCGACAAATGGCCAAAATGTTGCGTTGTCGCAATGTCGCGCTTTGGCTAATTTTGACACTTTTTGCTTGTTTTTGCAAGGGCGACAATGCGACAACGTCCCTTGAAGTATTCCATATACAACCGCAACATATTGTAACATTTTGGGGGTTAAACGAGATTCCTGCATATTATAAAGAGACAGCCAATATTTGACACATTTCAAAACAGCGGGCGATTGAATAGAACTTCTGCCAGACTCGGTTCTCTGTCACTGAACCCTGAATTTCAGCCCCGTATAAAAGTATTGGTGTTATCTTTGTATCTAAACATTTGAAGTAAAAGTGAGGCGAGTATGGTTTCAAGGAATGTATACTAACTAACAGGACCATGAACACCTTTCTTTCCAGAATTGCAACATTATCTAAGCATTCGACCTCAGTAATCTATTGCTAGAATTGTTGTTGACAGTATTGCCAAACACAATAAGGTCTTCCGTAAATAGAAGTAAAGAAAATGTAAATAAATTTCGAATGTAACTTAACACAAAAACAACAATTTTGTTCCATTTCAGTAACCGCTTCGTTTATTTAAAAAAACTAAAACAAAAAGTGACAAAGCATTCACCCTTGCCTCACACCCAAGAAGCAACAAATATACCAGATATTCTGTTGTAAGTCTTTACATTACTGTACATGGATTGTAACATTTTACCCATTTTAGCGCTCAAGCCATGTTTGAAAAATGGCTTCCATAGATGTCAAGCTGATTTATTATGTTTCTTGGCACTGATGCTTTCAAAAAGATTTGGATCTGGTGATTGGGGATTCTAGTATGTCAGTTGTTAGTTCTTGCACGTAACCTTGACCTCAACCTCACCAAGATTATCCTGACTACCCATTAGTTCAGAATTCAGCGACGAGAAATAGTACCCCAGTCTTGTATATCAATTGAGTTGGGTCGTTGCGGTCGTCAAGTCACACGCTTTATGATGTCCCAGAAACGTTTAGAGTCTACCGCTGCTGCATTTTCTAGGTCTTTCCTTTTACATTGTGCAAACTGGTCCTTCTTGATTCCACACAGTTATCTATATTCTTGCAGGGCGGTCGGGTAGCCTGGTGGTTAAAGCTTTCGCTCGTCACGCCGAAGACGTTCGATTCCCGACATGGGTACAATGTGTGAAGCCCATTTCTGGTGCCCCCCGCCGTGATATTGCTGGAATATTGTTAAAAGCGGCGTAAAACCATACTCACTCACTCACTCACTCACTCACTATATTCTTGCAAACTTTGTAATGCTTAAAAAGGTAGGAGTTATCTTTAGATTCTTCTGAACGCATTTAAATAATGGCATCGTTCATGGTTTTTTACAGACACATTCATCATCATCGTGGAACATGTCACTCGATGCTAAACAATAATCTATCACACTACACCCAAAATGTCCAATAGGGGGCACGGGTGGCCCAGTCGTCTAAGGCGCCGCGATTCGCTGTGCAGAGTTGCGTCCCTTGGGCACACCAGAAACCTATGATTGTGGGTTCGAATCCCGGTTCGCCTCGATTATGTCAGCACCATACCCGTGCTCGTGGGTTTCATTGAAGTGGTAAATGTCTTAGACCTGCATCACTTCGGGCTTTCCTCCCACATTAGGCTGACACGCCGTCATATAACAGGAATACTGTTAAAAGCGGAGTTAAACCCAACTCACTCACCCACTCACTCACTAAATGCTCAATATATGTACAGTCACCGATTTGATAGTCAGTTCCCAATCTTCCATTCACAATATGTATGTTCAAATTTGAATGTATGTATGTCCAAAGCTATTTAGTAATTTATCACAAAAATATCTTTCCATCTCAAATTGTGTAAAAAACTCTACTAAGTAAATATTACTCTCAACATGGTGAATAACATCGTTCTTCACATAGTCGCGCGTCACACCGGTTCTAATGTCCATGAACAATGGACCCGTGACGATCCGGGGTCGAATAGGTCTTCAACAACGGGATCGGGCTGTCTGACTCGCTGACTTGGTTGATGCAGGTCATCGTATCCCAATTGGGTATCAATTTTCTATTGACTATGTTTCATATAAAGCAACAATGTCATGGTCAGGTACAAGAGAAACAAAGCCACTGTCGGACAGTTTGATGGTTACATTTTCTATATTCCTTGCAATGTAAGATATGCTTTTGCATAACCATCGACCTTGACGGCAGCACTTGAGTCGCGATCTGCGACTGGAGCCGACAACTGATGCTCATCACCTTCCAGAAGAGTAGCTGGCATGTCCTCAATAACTAGCCTGCCATTCTTATAATAGCCCCTCTTGTTCTCTGGTCTGAGCAAAGTCAGTTTCTCACACTGCCGCTCATTACGAATAATTGCATGAAACCAAGCAAAAACAATAAAATACGTGAAAATAGTTAAAAGTATTTCCAATCAAACTTTGTTTATAAGAATATTTTACATTAAGGGGCGTAATGTACAATATTAACCCTTAATGTAAAAAAATAATTTTTACATTATTATTGTTGTTTTGTTGTTTAACGCCTCACTCAGCAATATTCCAGCTATATGACGGCGGTCTGTAAATAATCGAGTCTGGACCAGACAATCCAGTGATTTATATCATGAGCATCGACCCACGCAATTGGGATGGATGACATGCATCAACCAAGTCAGCGAGCCTGACCACCCGATCCCGTTAGTCGCCTTTTACGACAAGCATAGTCGCCTCTTACAGCAAGCATTGGTTGCTGAAGACCAATTCTACCCCGGATCTTCACGGGTCTATTTTTACATTAAGGGTTGCGGGTTGTTACTCTTAATGTAAATGTTTTTACATTAAGAGTTAACACGTAACCCTTAATGTAACATTTGTTACATTAAGAGTAATTTTTACATTAAGGGTTGTAACAGAGCGTCCGCCTGGAGAGCAGAAGGTCGGGGGTTTGATCCCCGGCAATGTCACACCAAAAAGAAGGTACTTGTTGTTACCCTGTCAGGAGTTCGGCATTAAGGGGCTAAAACAAAGGACTTGTCTGTCCGGAGTCAGTAAACTGTGTCTGTGTTGGGTATTTGTGTTAAACTGCGGCATGGTATCTCATTGAGCTAGCACTATAAAATCGGCATAAGTCAGGATGAGAACAAGCAGTCACACACACCAACACACGTGCATGCACGTCGATATATAAGTGCAATAATCTGCGACGTCACATTAACCCCGTTTCACCTTACCACCTCTTTCAATAACCATAAAATATATCCGCCGAAACAGACTATATTGGGGGCAAAAGGGGAAAATAGCTGTAACATTACATGGATGGATCGCTAAAAATTAGTAATGACACCAGGTGTTCGCGAAAAGGGCAAAAAGTATCACCATCTCCTTTGTACCATTGTCTATACCGTAAGCATGTGTTTATGAATCAATATGGATAGTGATGACACCAGGTGTTCGCGAAAAGGGCAAAAAGTATCACCATCTCCTTTGTACCATTGTCTATACCGTAAGCATGTGTTTATGAATCAATATGGATAGTGATGACACCAGGTGTTCGCGAAAAGGGCAAAAAGTATCACCATCTCCTTTGTACCATTGTCTATACCGTAAGCATGTGTTTATGAATCAATATGGATAGTGATGACACCAGGTGTTCGCGGAAAGGTCAACAAGTATCACCATCTCCTTTGTACCATTGTCTATACCGTAAGCATGTGTTTA